CTGCAATTTCACTTTAAGTGTTAGCTTCTTTTTAAGGGGTTTGTGTGTGCCTATTCTTAAAATGTTCCGGCGTGTTGCACAGAACCCCACCCTGTTTTGGCTGGGCACCCTGGTACCTTTCAGATTCAATTCTTCCTTTGGTTGTACCTTCTGTCGACCCAGGCAGACCGCAGCGATGTGGCCCTTCTTTCCGCACGCTAGGCAAATGGCGGAACGGAACCGACATTCTGCTCGCTTGTGGCGTCCACCACATCCGAGGCAACGAAGCTCAGCTGGGCCCTTGTCCTGACGATCCTTGGACCTTCTCCCAGCTGCTTGGTAAAGCTTGTCCACCTCTTCTTCAGGATCTTTGTCCGAATCCTCGCGCACATCTTCCTTGTGAATAGTGGCGGTCTCTGGAACGTTTCGCTTAGGCCGCATGTTCTTGACCGCCCCGCCGGCAGCTTCTTCAGCCGAAACCTCTCACAGAGCATCTTGGAAGGAGACATCTTCCCTGGCGAACAGTCTCTGCTGTAATTCTGTGTTCCTCAGTCCGCACACAAAACGATCGCGCAGTCTTTCCTCTAAGTCCTTGAAGTCGCACGGTTTAGCTGCTCTTCTCAAGGCCGCAACGTAATCTTTTGCTGATTCTCCAACTCGATCTCTCTGTTGAAATGTGTGCCTCCAAGCCATGACAGATTGCTTGGGCTTGGAAGTGTTCCTTTAAAGTTTTCTTCAGGTCGGAGTATGATACCGTTTCCAGCGAGTCCGGGGCGATTAAGCTCTCGGCGATCTCAAAGGCGTCTTGCCCACAAACGCACAACGTGGCAGCCTTTAAGCCTTCCTCTCGAATCTGGTTTATGTGGAAATACGTCTCGACTCTTGCCACATAAGATTCCCACCTCTCGGGGTGAGAGACGTCGAACTCCGCTAAACACCCAACTTTCGCCATGATCGAAGATCAGGTTTCTTCTTCTTCAGTCGCACGCACCCTCCAGCGATTCCGTACTGGCAGGATAAGGCTGACTTCCACGCCGTTTCTCTTCCGGACTTCTTTGGGTGGGTCTTCTAGCTTTCCTAGCTGTAGAGACTGCATCCCACCTTTGTCGCCAGTGTTAAGTCCGGAGAATAATGGCGCTTGAGACGAAGCATTTCTAACAAGTCTTTATTCTCTGCTTCCATTCTACGAACAACCCGAGCAGAGGCACGCAGGCCTCTATTTATACCTTCTGATCCCCGGGCAAGTTCAACCAATCGTGAGGCGGTCTTTTCCCGCCTTGCGCATGCGCACAAGGCCGGCGCGCCTCAGTCTGGTCCCGGGCAGCTTCTGCAAATGCCCGGGACTCTTGCAACGTCCCGAGCCTGCCTCTTGCAGGCTCAGGACACAACACCCCTGTTCCAGATGCCCAGAAGCCCGCGCGAGGAAGGGGGGGCTCTGTGGATCTTTCCAAAGGGGGGGCAGGGAATTAGCAGCTCCCCCCCCCACTTCTATCAGTCGCCACGAGAGACCTGCCTGCGCCTTCCGAGCAGAGGCCGGGTGGCTGGGCGGGTGGCGCCCCTTCCCCCCCCAGCACTTGCTGTCCCTCGTCTCCTTCCCGCGATCATTCCCGGCTAACGGAAAGGAATTCTCTTCAGCCACGGTTTAGCTCTAAATCCCCTTCAAGATCCTCGAGTTGGCTTAGACGAGGGCGCTCTTGCTCTCCGGAGCTCCCGGCTGGCGTCCAACCAACAGGAGAAAGCCCCAAGCCGTCGCCTTGGCGCCCGGAGAGGGAAGGCGGCTTTTCAGCCCCACCCGGCCGCGGGCAGAGAGCGCAGGTGGCCGAGGGGGGAGGGGAGCAGCCGGACGGTCAGAGCTGGGAAAAGTCGAGGCGGCTCAGCAACGCCGGCAAAGGAGCCGCCCCAGGAGGAAAGCGGCGTCGCAACTTGGCGGCCCTTCCGACCTGCTGCTTTCCGAATTCGACGTTCCTCCGCGGGGCGCCGGGGGCCGCCTTCGCGGGGCCCGGTGGGGGGAAGCAGCGGGGCGGGCGGGGGAGCCGAGTCCAGCTGCGGCCAGGAGGTCTCGGGGCACCTCGGGCCAGCGGCGCCCACAAAGCGGCCTCGACGGTCCTGCGGTCTTCCTTGAGGCTCGAAGACGGGAGGCGCTTTGATCGGCCGCCACCCACCTCTTTGGCCCGGGCGAGGGTCGGGCGTGGGCGGGAGCAGCCGGGCCCCTCCAGCGGGGCGGTGCCAGTCCGAGAGCTCCCCGGGCCCGGGTCTTTGGCCGGGGGCCCAGCAGAGCAGCCTTCGCCCCCGCCCGCCTGGCATCCTTCCCGGGACAGCCAGCGACCCCGCGCCGCCTCCAGGAACCACGTCGGCTTGGATTCAGGCCGGGGTCCCCCAACTCCCCCTCGCCCTCGCGCGGACGCCCCGCCGCGCCCCTTTTCGAAGCGGCCCCGCGGGCACCGCCGCCGGTCGAAGCGGACGCCCCGTTTCCGCTCTTGGGACGGGGAGGGGGGGGCGGCCGCCTGCGCTCTCTGCTGCCGCCTGGAGGGGAGGCGAGGAAATAGAGCTGCGGGGATTCGAACTCGGGATTCCCGGCGCCCTAAATTTTGCTCGGCCGCCATCTTGGAGAAGGGTAGGAGAAGCCGACGCCCCCGGGGTCCTTTGTCTCGGCGGTGACGTCTCTTATCGCGAGGCGTCGTCAATAAACATCTTGCTCGTTTTGCAAAGAGGCAAAGCGAAGGTGCGCTTTGCGTTCCGATTGGATAAACTCGTGCATATATTATCATGGGCTGCATGGGAAAGTGGCCACTGACGAGAACAGAATCCAATTGCCTTAGATTTATTAGCTATGTTGCACTGAAGATATGCTCTAGATTAACCACGTAGTATTAGAAAATATCTAAAAAAGCCAAATCTCCTTGTCTGCATTCCATTTTGCTAACCATAACCTGGAGGCTTACTTTTCTCTGAGGTTTAAATAGCCATAGCGTGGCTCTTCAGGTTGTGTTGTATGAAAGGAGAGAAGGTTAGCACTCCCCTTGATAAGGATGGAAGAGGCCCTTGTGGTCTTGCAACACGCATATGGTTAAGGCGCTGCCACTTACGTCGTGGCATCTAACCACTTTTGGGGCAGAGGCCCGCACGGCCGGCCTCACTTCTTCCTCCCCCCCCGCCCCAGGCGAGGGAGGGTCCCGTGCCTCGCTCCCTTTTGCCGCACCGACGCGACACGGCAGGCGGCTGCAATAGACTCCCTCCTACTCCGCTGTACCTTGGTATACAGCAATACTGGCTTTTTGGATTTGCATTTGGTTGCCTTTCTGAAATCAGCCCCCCCCCCCCCCCCCACACACAACTGACCTCTGGAAAGCTGAGCAGGGTTGGAGCCTGCCAGGGCCTGGATGGGAGACTACCAAGAGATCCCAGGGCCGCAGGCCAGAGCAGCCAGTTACCAGAAGTAAGGTTGCCCACCTACTGTAGGCCTCTGTAAATCCATGGCAGCTGAATGCTCCTTGGGGGTTCCCGTTCCACTCTTTCCCCCATATTCTCGTTTCCTAATCAGAGAATCAGGAAAACAGCTCTGGAGTCCTTCTGAAAGGACCCACAAAAACTGCCACCTGCTTTGGTTAGCAAGATAGGCAGCATGTTAAGTAGACGGAGAAGGAAGAGCCGGCTGGCGGGTGGCTTTGCATCCTGCCGGTTCCTTCGCCTTCCTAGCTGTGCTCCTGCCGGTCCGGAGCCTCAGCCTGGTCGAAGGGCCCCGATGCCCTGCTCCAGGTCACACTCTTGCCATCTGCCTTCCCCAGATGGCAAGGGGAGGGGCAGCTTTTGTGTGTGTGTGTTAAAAAAAGCTGTAAATATTGCTGCTTTTCCCTTGGGAGGAAAAGGGAAAACAAAGGCCCTGCTCCAGCACCGGGATGACCACCCCATTTCTCCCCCCCCAGGGCCTGAGGAGGGCAACCCAAACAGGGGGGGGGAGGCAGGCCAGGCCACTGGTGCTCTAAGCATGGCAGCTGCTTTGAGTCACCACCCCCCTTTGCAGCCTTTGCTTCTTCTTGGCCAAAATTCCCAGAGGGAGGGGGTTTCTGGAGTCTGTAGGGGGGGGAGAGCTGAGACTAACCCCCTGGGCACCCCCCGCTGGGCCCTGAGCCCTCCCTAGGCAGGCTCCGTGGCTGCCTTGTTCACCCAAACCAGGTTACTGGCATCCAGGCAAAGCTTCTTGGATGCCACCCTGAAAGCACTCACGCCAGGCAGCGATCCTGCTGTCAACCACATTAAATCCCACTTTTTATTCTG